GTTCATTTTGTAAGTTTTCATGCAGGATTGTCATGACAAAATGGGCTTAATAGTGAATTGTTCATTTTATAAACTTCAATTTAATTATTGTGTACATTTGGATTGGTACTTTTAAAATCATGCTGCTGTGTGTGTGTGTGTGTGTGTGTTTTATTGAAATGTTTTAGTTTTCATATAGAAAAATGTATGATGCATGCGAGTAAACATTTATTTTGAATCTTGTGTATTAAAGTATATTTCATATCAAATGCCCAGAAGTTTCAAACATTATTTTTAATATCACAAACAGGAAATAACTTGCATAATACAATGAAACTAATAACTGTATAGGTCTACAACTAAATTACACAAGATTAATGTTTATAAAATGCTTAATATGTCATTATAAAATGCATACATGCATAAAGTATGACGTATCGTGTGTAATAAAAGCAAATTACCTCTTAAAACCGTAGGGTGGCGCTACTATGTAAAAAAAAAAAGTAAGCTCCGCCCCTCACTTCCGGTTCTGTGACTGCAGTTCTGTGGCTGTGGTTCTGAAACTGCTGTGCTGCGGGTCAGCAGCTGGATAGTATTGGTCCTCCCGGGATGTCCGTACTCTTCAGGAACATAGCGCGAGGCGACGGGGGATGTGACGGCAGCTGCGGCGCTTAACGTTACCTCCAGCTCTGGCGGCAGCGATGCTCCTGTCACATCACTAGCCACAGTTATGAACAGGAGCAAACTCAAGCCCCGCATCTTTCCGGCGTGTCATCTTCATTTCTTTCATACACTCCTGTTGCGATGGCAAGCCCTCCGCGGGACGCCCCGTTACCGGTTTACAACATCAACACACACACTCCACTTGCCGGTAACTCGCGTATGCTACGCTGGCGTATAGGACACGTGATTCGGTCGTGCACGAGGAGGTCCTATTTAAGAGCCGTCACCCATCATCCTCATCACAATATTAAGTGCATTAAAAACTCGCATTATCAGCCTATTTCTACGTGCCACGAAAAAGTACATTATGGAGAAATATATTTGTTTTTTATAGAATAATCGACAAGTCGATTTAACCATTTACGCAGTATATTCTAAATAATAGATGACAAAATTATGATTGTAGCTGTCAAATGAATGAAAAAGACGCATGCGCCCCCAGGAGGACAAAACAATGAAGAATTTCTGGCAATAATAAAACAGGGAAAGAAGTCTAATAAAACATTTAATTTCATTTCATTTTAAACAAAGCTTTGTCTTTGGATTCAAGGCCAACATGGCAATGTGAAACAATTCTGAGACGGAATATAATGTCTAACAGAAGCACTGTACTTGCCAACTATTTTGTGCAGGTGTCGAGTGGTGACGGGGACGTACAGCACTGGGACACTAATAGTGATACATTCAGAGTGAAGAACACATGCACCCATGCAGACAGGTAATAAGGTCATACATAAAACAACAGTGATTCATAGTGACTCTAAATTCCTACAGCATAACCCCCTGTGCAAAAAAGCAATACCAAGAAAATTCTTAAAATATGTGCTTGTAACGGTTTTTTTTTTTTTATGCTACAGCAATGTTGTGTCTTTAATGCAACACTTCTCTTCAGCAAGAAACAGAGTGGTCCATCCATGCACATTTAACACCATAACAATGGTATAACTAAAAAGGTTAAACTTGAACTCGTCAAAAACAGCACAAAAATAAATATCAGGACAGAAATGTGATACAGCAGAATACAGGGCTGTGTTGTAGCATCCACAAGCCTACCAAGAGAGCTCTGTGATTAATAAAAGAAAAACAAACATGTGATCTAGTTTATGGTCCTCTCTAATCGAGATCTCCTTGGTAGTCAGGATATCCAGTTGAACATCACCCAGGTGCACATGGGTCAGCTTTCCAGACACAAATTAAACCCGGTCCAAAACTAAAGAGTTTTCAATGGTTAATCATAACTGACAGTGCCGTTTATTCCAGGGTTCAGCTTCATTAATGGGCACAGGAAACCAGTGTGTTTGAGTAACCCTATTGCACTGATCTCAATTACGGGCTTCCATGATCCTAACTTTGAGCTGAGCCATTCTAACAGATATGGCTAAAATAGAAAAGTTTTGTCTTTTAAAAAATTCAGTATTAACTTAAAACCTTTCAAACCCTTAGATACATCTCTTTGATAAATTGTGCTCCAATCTATGCAATCTAAGGCTCTATACAAAATAATATGTGCATCTGGTCAAACTATATAGCATTTCATGTCACTGGATCATATTATATGCAGCTATTCTCCATCGGGAAACATGGGCTGTTATTTAATACTGTGCCATTAAAGTTTGTACCAATCAAATCATGATATGTCTAACGGACATCATGCGCACACTTCAGGTCTCTGTATAGTAATGCAGCTGTTTGTATTTCAGCTGGAAGTACATGATTGAGTTGTTCAGATTGGCAGATAAGATTTAGTTGCAGGCATCCCACAAAATGTCAACGAAGATCCCTTCATCACAGATCTTCCTGTCATTAATGCAGCTCTCCTTATGGCCTCATTGCTGCCTTGCTACAGTTTCCCCCACATGAGAACTAACAGCTTCAGACCTTCCCATTAGTACTGCCGAGGCCAAGGGCCTGCACCACATCCACACTCAGCCCACTCTTCAGAGTCCTCCGCACTGCAACACAAACATCACACCATTAAAACCACAACACTGTATGATATACTATAATATAAAAAACGTAACTCAGTGTCAAACAATCTAAATAATGCATAAACTATTTGCACATGTATAAAGACTGTCTGTCTTTGATGAACTAAACTGCTCTGGAATGGAAAAGGTAAAGCTTTCCTGTAGTTCAAACAGTAGAGCAAGGCGCTAGCAACACCAAGGTCATGGGTTTGATTCACAAGAACTAATAAAAGTGTACCTTGAATGCAATGTAAGTCACTTTAAATAAAAGCATCTACCAAATGTATAAATGTAAATAATAAAGGTGAAGCTGCAGATAAATTAGCAAATATTTAGCAAAATTTTGTGGGCAAAAAGTGTCCATTGTCAATAATGTAGTGATGTATGAAGCACCTCTCACACAGAAGTCACTTTCAAACCAAGCAGCTATCTGTAGGTCAACATGGCAAACTCGCATTACCAACCTGAACCCTGTTGCAAAGTCTGCATGCTGAAATCTTTCCCTCATGTTAAATTCCCAATTTCGTGAATTACTATTCCTATAGAAATGACTGGATTTCGAAAATGTGCCAAACAATGGTAAATCGACTGCGCTTTAAGACATACCATAGACAGCTTCAGCATATTGTAAGTAAACCTAAAAAGTCTCCGCTGTATAGATTATTTTTCAGGTTTGGAGGTTTGTGTGCTTTCAGTTTCCATTTTTAAAAGTACAGTTGCAAGAATGCCCTACAAAAGGCTCTTTGTGGTGTCGATTTCTGAGATGTCTGGCAGTTGAATTCGGAACAAGCAGAAGTAAAGAGGTGGCACGATATGGATCTGACAGGGAGATTTAGGGGCTTTTGAAAGTTAAGCAATGGTTGAAGCCAGATTACATTGTGTTTTGTACACAGATAGTGTTGAATGCAAACAGTGACTAAATCCTTAATCTCATTCCCCAGGTTTAGGGCTAAAACAACCCTCAGAACTAGTTATGTAGTTCAGTGTTCAAAAACAAGAAATAAAACATGCGTTGACAGTCTAAATGTACTTACATGATTTTCTGTTAAGCCGTGAGCGTTTCCGTGTTTTTGGACTAGACGCCCTCTCTGTGGGATTTTGGGTGACAGACTTAACCAGACGATCCATGATCTCATCTGTGGCATCGTCCTGTGAGCTGGCGCTGTCCTCTTTGGCTACAGACATGTTTGTACTAACCCTGCCTAAACCTGTGTAGAAATGACATTAGATCAATCATTACTTTGCTTAATTCCTTTAAAAATCAGTCCAAGATCTTTCAAAGGAAGCGTTAAAATGAATGAGGCTGGTATTACTTCTCAGCAAGCTGATGAAAATCAGTCATTTGTAAAAGATTCACAGATATTCAGGCAAATATACAGTTTGGGTGCAAAGTTTGAATCAATGGCTTATTCATCCAGGTTTTTCCTTTGTCTGTCTTGACAGCCCTCGAAAATCAATTTAGTTCATAATAAATCTGTTAGTTGAGCAAACCCACTCCATGCAGCCTGTGCAGTAGCTCTACCTTCATCATCATCATCATCCTGTGCTGATTGGCTCTCTACTGGTGAAGTAGGAGCGCTGTCAGAGTCATAAGGCCCCTCTGTGAGATCAAATTACCCAGCCTTAATGCTCTCATTAATTACAAAGTTTTACCATATATTAAAAGCTGCACAATTGCTTTATCGTTGCACACATCCATGCTCCAAATGCTGTACCTTCATGACTTAACTGAAGGGTTGGTGAAATTGGAGAAGTGTCACCACCAGTGCTAAGAATCTCTATAAAAGATCCCCAAATTGATAAACAACAAAACTTAAATAATAATAATAATAATGGTAATCATCATCATCATAATCATCCAAACAATTGCAATATATGACATTTTAAAAAGGCAAAATGAAAAAATAAAAAACAAGCACACCGAGCTACATCTGTGTTTGATAACTGAATTGTTTTTATTGAAACTGGAGCCCTTAGTTCTGCTTCTGGAGATCTACCTTCCTGCAGATGTTACTTCTGTGACTGTAATTAAACAAATCTGGATCAACTAAACCAGGTGTGCGAGAGAAGGGATGGAACTAAATTCTAAAGGAAGGTTGGGTCCAAGCAGGAGGACTAACACTGCTCTAAACTGCTACACCTGGATTTGCGTTGTTGTGGTATCTTACTTCGTACAGCACGGCTCCTGCGCAGCTTGCTGTTGTCATTGTTGGCGATGAGCAGGTTTTTCATGTTCTCATGCTCCTCTTGGGCTGGCTCTGATTCTATTGTTGAAGAAACCAGGGATGGGTTGTCCTCCAGAGACAGCTGTGGAACTGCTCCAGAAAACTTCTCGGTCTGTGAGAAAAAAAGATAGTACAATTAGTTATTGGTAATGTTTTTTTCCTCAGTCTACTAAATTGACAATTGAGGTGATACAGTGGGGTTTGTGGACAGGGCCATGAAATGGTTCATTCCTTTAAATGAACAATCTGAGTTCAATACCATTTTAGCTGTATTGACAACATTTGTGGCATAATGTCGATCAGGGCTGATGTCAGGGGGAGGACAACTGAGAAAATTGTCCCAGGCCTTGTGACGTGGTGGGCCAGCTAAATGCTTGATCTTTATAGTATTGAGTGTTCAGAGGTGGACCATAGTTGGGTCTGGACCATGGTCTAGGTTTTGTCTAGCAATGACCTTGATGGCACTGAAATGATGAAGATGTGAAATATTCTCTTATTTTGTTTAAAGAGCATATTTTTTCCATTTAGTACTGCCCAACAGAAGCCACACAAAATAAGTACACTTTACTCTAATCATCGTATTCAAAAAATGTTTTACTCCAGGAGGATTTTTCTGAAGATCAGTGGGCAGTTCAACAGCTCTGGACAACCAAGGGACTCATGAACAACTATCACAAAATATAAAAGCCGTGACTCATCCAGGAAAAATCACACAGCATTAAGAATCAAGCATATGTAAACTTTTTAACAGAGTATATAAAAAAAACATTATTATTATAATTTTTTTTATATTATTATTATTCCTGTTAATTTGTTCAACTTACTAACTTTTTTCAGATTCTACAAGATGTGTGTAAACTTAAGGCCATAACTGTAAATTGGAAGTAAATGAGCAATAATCATTAAAATAGTTCTAAAAATTATTTCAAAAAGACTAAAACATTATGCATGATGGTATACGATTAGTGAAATAAAATGAGAGTACATGCATTTTAAGTTCATGATTTTCCTCAAGAGCTACCATTCCACACCTCTGTGATCAGCTTGCCCCGGGTCTTGGTGCGCTCCCGGTGGACGGCACGTTTGCGTTTCTGGGTGAGGACTCTCTCTTGGGTGGTGCGGTACTCCAGGGCAAACTCACTGATGATCTTACAGAATTGAGTTACTTTAGTGTCCCGCACTGAGTAGGAGGGCTGACCCAAGTACAGCAAGAAAGAATGAAACCTGCAATGTGAAGGAAGTAGAAGTTAATATACTGTATGCTCCACTTCAGCCTAATTAAAAAATTAGGCACAGTCATTCATGCTCATCAACTTATGGGAAGCATCCAAATGAAGTTGGTATCTTTTGGTTTATCATGTTGAAGTATAAAATGGATTACAGTGAGTTTTTTTGTGTGTGTGTTACCTATTAATAATGCGTCTGTGCACTACTTTCAGGATGATGATCCTTTCAGTACAGTCCTTCAGAAATTCTGTCATTTTGTTTTTCAAGTTAGGTTTAGTTTCGTGTTTGGCCATTACTTTAAGGTTGTCCCAAGATGCTTTGCATTTTCTCTCCAGCTGAATAAGGTTTTCAGACAACTGCTCAAAATCCACCTGTGGGAAAAGAGAGGAGGTAGTGTTAAATTATGAAGATAAACAGTGTTATTGACATAGTTACCTTCAAAAGGAGAAACAGAACAGAAAATGTACACAGCAGTTTATTCATTAATGACAATGGCAACTTTTACAAGATGTGCTGAAGAAAACAAACGGCTACTATAAAAGCCTAAAATGAATAAATAGTGTTGAACATGGTTGTATCTAAAAGGTAAGACAAACAGAACAAAGAAATGAAAAATGCATATAAAGCGTCTGAGTCACCTACTTTAGCAGAGCGTGTGTTAGCAGGGATCTCAGAGTAAAGGTCTGTCGTATCTGGGTAGTTTTCCACCACAAAATTGCAGGTATGATGAAGCAGAGACTGCCTGTGTACTGTGTCCTTCACCTCAGTAACCTTCTCCAAATAACTGAGCTCAAAGCCCTTTGCCTGCCAGAGAGACAAGAAGTGACAATTAAAGTCATTATGTGATGTTCAATGAACTACTACATTAACTTTGTTGGAAACTGGTGGGGAAAAGAATATTAAGACAGCTACTCATTAAATCGAGTGGCACAAATGAAAGGACATCATGCTCTGAACAGTTATTAAATGCAGAGTTCAAGAGGTCAGCACAGAAAACGTGCCATGCAGGGTCTTAATCTTTTGCTTTTGTCTTGTCGAAGATAAGATATGATCAAGACATTAGCACACAGAGCTGCTCTGATTAATCACATGTGTTCATCAAGCTTCAGATTGGCGCACATGCGCTTAATACAGGTGCTGTAAAGGTAACTCTGCTCCTAGGACTCACTGCGGAGGAGATGGAGCACTTACATTGGAGCTATTAAGGAAGTTTCCAATGGCCAGTAGTGTTGCTAGGACACGCTTGAAGGTTTTGTTCTTGGCAAGTTGTTCCATACCCAGTTTCAGGTCAAAAAGAGGCTCTGCAATCTCCTGCAACATTCATGTGCGATGGATAGAAAAATGAGAGAGAAAGGTCTGTGAGAAAAAAAGATAGTACAATTAGTTATTGGTAATGTTTTTTTCCTCAGTCTACTAAATTGACAATTGAGGTGATACAGTGGGGTTTGTGGACAGGGCCATGAAATGGTTCATTCCTTTAAATGAACAATCTGAGTTCAATACCATTTTAGCTGTATTGACAACATTTGTGGCATAATGTCGATCATGGCTGATGTCAGGGGGAGGACAACTGAGAAAATTGTCCCAGGCCTTGTGACGTGGTGGGCCAGCTAAATGCTTGATCTTTATAGTATTGAGTGTTCAGAGGTGGACCATAGTTGGGTCTGGACCATGGTCTGGGTTTTGTCTAGCAATGACCTTGATGGCACTGAAATGATGAAGATGTAAAATATTCTCTTATTTTGTTTAAAGAGCATATTTTTTCCATTTAGTACTGCCCAACAGAAGCCACACAAAATAAGTACACTTTACTCTAATCATCGTATTCAAAAAATGTTTTACTCCAGGAGGATTTTTCTGAAGATCAGTGGGCAGTTCAACAGCTCTGGACAACCAAGGGACTCATGAACAACTATCACAAAATATAAAAGCCGTGACTCATCCAGGAAAAATCACACAGCATTAAGAATCAAGCATATGTAAACTTTTTAACAGAGTATATAAAAAAAACATTATTATTATAATTTTTTTTATATTATTATTATTCCTGTTAATTTGTTCAACTTACTAACTTTTTTCAGATTCTACAAGATGTGTGTAAACTTAAGGCCATAACTGTAAATTGGAAGTAAATGAGCAATAATCATTAAAATAGTTCTAAAAATTATTTCAAAAAGACTAAAACATTATGCATGATGGTATACGATTAGTGAAATAAAATGAGAGTACATGCATTTTAAGTTCATGATTTTCCTCAAGAGCTACCATTCCACACCTCTGTGATCAGCTTGCCCCGGGTCTTGGTGCGCTCCCGGTGGACGGCACGTTTGCGTTTCTGGGTGAGGACTCTCTCTTGGGTGGTGCGGTACTCCAGGGCAAACTCACTGATGATCTTACAGAATTGAGTTACTTTAGTGTCCCGCACTGAGTAGGAGGGCTGACCCAAGTACAGCAAGAAAGAATGAAACCTGCAATGTGAAGGAAGTAGAAGTTAATATACTGTATGCTCCACTTCAGCCTAATTAAAAAATTAGGCACAGTCATTCATGCTCATCAACTTATGGGAAGCATCCAAATGAAGTTGGTATCTTTTGGTTTATCATGTTGAAGTATAAAATGGATTACAGTGAGTTTTTTTGTGTGTGTGTTACCTATTAATAATGCGTCTGTGCACTACTTTCAGGATGATGATCCTTTCAGTACAGTCCTTCAGAAATTCTGTCATTTTGTTTTTCAAGTTAGGTTTAGTTTCGTGTTTGGCCATTACTTTAAGGTTGTCCCAAGATGCTTTGCATTTTCTCTCCAGCTGAATAAGGTTTTCAGACAACTGCTCAAAATCCACCTGTGGGAAAAGAGAGGAGGTAGTGTTAAATTATGAAGATAAACAGTGTTATTGACATAGTTACCTTCAAAAGGAGAAACAGAACAGAAAATGTACACAGCAGTTTATTCATTAATGACAATGGCAACTTTTACAAGATGTGCTGAAGAAAACAAACGGCTACTATAAAAGCCTAAAATGAATAAATAGTGTTGAACATGGTTGTATCTAAAAGGTAAGACAAACAGAACAAAGGAATCAAAAATGGATATAAAGAAGCATCTGAGTCACTTACTTTAGCAGAGCGTGTGATTGATGAGATCTCAGAGTAAAGGTCTGTCGCATCTGGGTAGTTTTCCACCACAAAATTGCAGGTATGATGAAGCAGAGACTGCCTGTGTACTGTGTCCTTCACCTCAGTAACCTTCTCCAAATAACTGAGCTCAAAGCCCTTTGCCTGCCAGAGAGACAAGAAGTGACAATTAAAGTCATTATGTGATGTTCAATGAACTACTACATTAACTTTGTTGGAAACTGGTGGGGAAAAGAATATTAAGACAGCTACTCATTAAATCGAGTGGCACAAATGAAAGGACATCATGCTCTGAACAGTTATTAAATGCAGAGTTCAAGAGGTCAGCACAGAAAACGTGCCATGCAGGGTCTTAATCTTTTGCTTTTGTCTTGTCGAAGATAAGATATGATCAAGACATTAGCACACAGAGCTGCTCTGATTAATCACATGTGTTCATCAAGCTTCAGATTGGCGCACATGCGCTTAATACAGGTGCTGTAAAGGTAACTCTGCTCCTAGGACTCACTGCGGAGGAGATGGAGCACTTACATTGGAGCTATTAAGGAAGTTTCCAATGGCCAGTAGTGTTGCTAGGACACGCTTGAAGGTTTTGTTCTTGGCAAGTTGTTCCATACCCAGTTTCAGGTCAAAAAGAGGCTCTGCAATCTCCTGCAACATTCATGTGCGATGGATAGAAAAATGAGAGAGAAAGAGAGAGATTGTGAATGAATGTTTGGTAATGAAAGCCCCACTAAACACAAAGTCATTACCAATCAAGGTCGGCAGAACTCAATTGAAGAAGCCTAAAATGACTAAATTCCTACTGTCAGAGCTAGAGTATAATGATCAGACAGAATGCAGTACTGAAACACACCAGGGCTATGAATTGAAGGCTTAAATTGTGACAAAATACACCAGTGTTCTATAGACAGTTACATATATTAATTATAATAGGGGTAAACAATGCTTTGACCAATGAATATAATCCATTACCTGTATATCTTTAGGGTGCCAAGCAATGCAGCATTAGGTGTGTATATGAGCAGTTATTACAACCGCTCCAAATGCAGCTCATCCAATCAGAATTCACAGTGGGAATCAGATTTATATATATGAAAAAATATATATAATGATAATAATAATAATCTAATGCTTACAAATACATTACCGAACGTTTGGGGTCAGGCTTTTATTTTGTTTTTGAACGACATTAAAAAGGTCATATGATGCTTTTTTAAATATCATTATTTGGTGTATTTGGTGTAACAGAATATGTTGACATGCTTTAATGTTCAAAAAACACATTATTTTTCAAATACTGTACATTATTGTAGGTCCTCTATGCCCCGCCTCTCTCAAACGCTTCGTTTTCTACAAAGTCCCTCCTTCCGACAAGCGCAGTCTGCTCTGATTGGCCAGCTGACCCAGTGCATTGTGATTGGCCGAACACCACAAGCACTCGTCGGAAATGTAACGCCCCTTACCATAATCGCGAGCACACACACACACACACACACACACGATGTGCAAAACTCCGCATTTGAACGATCATAAGTGAAAGTTTAAAAAATCTGTTATTTTGAACTTTCTATTCATCAAATACTGATATAAAATTTATTGCAGTTTCCAAAAAATATTAAGCAATGGCTGCTGAAAAATTCAGCTTCGCCATCACAGGAATCAATTACTTTTTAGAAAATAGATACGTTATTTTTAGCTAAAAATGGATAATTAAAACTTTATTTTAACAGGACTGTTATGGAGTATTAAATGACCACCTCTGCATGGCAATTAACTTAGACTAGTACTAACATATAGTAGCAAACGCATACCAACATATAACTGTTTAGCTCATATTTTATTATGGTCATGCTACTGGAGGAAACTTAGTATAAAAAGAGGATTTATTGTCATAGGGCTCTGACCTTCTCCAGGGTCTCATAGTTCAGTTTAAAGGCCCAGAGCTGTAATCTGGCCGTAAGGCCACTGATGGAGGAGAGAGTGAGCAGAAACTGCTCTGCTGTACCCAGCGGTATATCAGGGTTAGCCAGCTGTGCCTCCTGAATCTTCTGTTTCTCTTCATCTGTTGGAGTCATGGTCAGGATTTTCTACAGGTGGATGGAAGCAGAGGATATTTTGCATCAGATTTGTACTGTAAAAATTAATCATCTGAATCTTTATTAAATTCACATGAATTATAAAAAGAAAGAAAAAGAAATAAATTGTCTGATATTTATGTTTAATATATAAATGAGGGAATGTTTAAAGGGATGGTTCACCAAAAATTCTGTCATAAATTACTCATCCTCGTGTTGATCTGAACCTGTAAGTCCTTTAAGACATTTAAAAATATCTTAATTTATGTTCCGAAGATGAAAGAAGATCTTACAAGTTTGGAACAACATGAGGATGAGTAATTTATAACAGAATTTTCATTTTTTTGGGTGAACTATCCCTTTAAACAAATTAAATGAGCTACTACTGCCCCCTGGTGGATGCTAGTGCTACATTACCTCAATGCCCTCTTTACTGATGGCAAACTCATCAAAGGTGAGGATGGCACTTTTGATGACATGTATAGCAGGCAAAACAGTCATGCCGATGTTGATGGCATTGCTCCTCTTAGGATCAAGCACTAAAATTGCTGCTTTCTTGGTCTCAGCACCTTTCTGTAGGAATAGGATAAAACCATTTATAGCATGCACTGGCCATAAAAAAAAACTGATAAAAAAATTAATGGATAAACTTGATTTAAAATTACTGAGAGGGAACTTTAAAAGCAAAGGAGATCATGCTTTTTCTGTGGTAGGTTCCACGTGAGGTCAGTTTCATCAGTTGCCACCTTTAAGTCTTACTTTATAACTTATTTTTTTAGTTAGATTTTGAATAAACTGTTTGTTGTATGTAATCTTAAATGTTGATTTTAATTATGTTTTTTTGTTTTGTTTATGTTGTAAAGCACTTTGGGGCTGCATCTGTTGTTTATAAATGCGCTATATAAATAACATTTGCTTGCTTGCTTACTATAAAAAAAATTGTAGCTTTAACATTTATTCATCCATATATTCAATAGCAGCATTCCCCCAGCGAGGTGACCTATCATCCTTTAATAGTTAAATGGCTTTAGTAAATTGGTAAATGGTAATTTTTTGTGTAACTCTGAATAGTTTATTCTTAAACAAGTTTGCCGGTTTGTGTTGTCTGGCATACATATACTCTATTTGTTACTTGTACCTGTATGTATAAGATGCATAAGATTGTAGATCTTCACTGTATTTACATACAAATGTGCAAGGATAAATTTGTAAAAATAAAAACTAATAATAATAATAATAATAATTCTTATTAAAGAATTTAAATATCATGGGAAAAAATGTTAGCCTGTCGCACCTTTGCTACTGGAAGATCCTTTCCTTTGGACTCAAACAGGTGCTCCAGCTTAGCTTTATCGACTGCAACCTTATCAAGTGAAGCCCAAACTGTGCCCCGCCCAAACTTGCACTTCCTGGGGCTATCGGGCTGCTTAAGCTCCTTCCAGAACAGCTTGACCGTTTTCCGTTTATTTAGAAAAGCCGGATCATTTCCTTGAGACAGGGACGGAGGGAGGAGTCCTGGAGGAGGAGGAGGCACACTCAAACCTCCAGGAGGAGGTGGAAGAGGAGGGGGTGGAGCCAGACTAGCAGGTCCAGGAGGAGGAGGAGGCGGTGGCGGCGGTGGGGGAGCTAAGCCCAGTCCTGGCACTGGAGGAGGTGGTGGCGGTACTCCATTAGGCAAGCCGGTGTCAAAAGTGTCTATATCCAGCACATCGATATCCTCCTCATCCATCAGATCGGAGAAGTCAAGATCTTTAATCCGCAGGGGTCTGGAGCTGGGCTGCAGCTTCTCCCAGGCATCCTGACTACCCCTGGATAATGGCGTCATCATTGTCTTCTCTAAACTCTGTGAATGAGTCTCAACTTCAATACTGTATTGTGGATGCAGCTTCTTGTTCTGTCCCTCCGCTAGCCTGGCACGAGCGGCCTGGGCAGTGCCTTCAAGGCTCTCCAGCTCCGCCCGCCTGGATGTGTCCTCTGTGGGCTGAGAAGTGTGAGACTGCAGTCTCGAGAGCCGTCCGGCCATATTGGTGATCCCATGGTCCTCAAGTGCACTTTCCAGACTAGGACTTTTTAGGCCTCCAGAAGAGTTGTTGTTTTTGGAGTAGAGCATATCCAGCATGAACTTCCTGTCATTAGAGAGGGTGCTGTGCTCTTCCGCTGCACTGCCCTGATGCTGCAAACCGCCCTCTAGAGGAACCATAAAAATATGTGCTGAAGGAAAAATATTAGGTATACACAATATATCAGTACCATACAGTATAGATTACTGGTGTTTTTTGTATTATTATTTATCAGTATTGGTCGATATTGAATATTTGTTTATGTATTTAGTATTTTATTTAACATAGACAATGGACATGACTGGCCAAGAATTATCTACAGAGATAAATTTCATCTGCAGTCAATGGACTACTGATGAAAAGGCGTATTATGGTAGTACTATAATAAACATTGTTACATGTCTAAAATAAATGAGTATTAAAAAGCAAACAAAAAATGCTACATTGAATATATACATAGATTATACTGAATATATAATTGTGCGTGCTCATTAACTTGTAATTTGTAGCATCATTTGTAGCATTTACAATGACTGATTTAAGTTTTTATTGTTTTACATTCAATTTATTTAAAATTCTACACAAAATAGTACAGGATTTTAATATCGGCCATGTATCAGTTTTCGGTCATAACATGAAAAGTAATCTGCTTATTGATGTTGGTTAGAATTGTTATATTGTGAATTCCTAGAAAGTAAAGTATGCAGCATAATAGTGTTGCCACCTACACTGTAGTTAAGCAATAATCTTTCTTTCAGAATAACAGCTGCAGGCTAAAAGAGACATCCTACCTTCAAAATGCCTAGTGCAAGCACAGATTATGTTGTTCCCACATGCTACCATCCTCTAGCTTCAGTAACCCAGTGCAGACGAACAACAGTAACTCCGCTGAGGTCTAACAGCATTGTAGTGCTAACTGCCTAAAACCTCAATAAGCCAAAACGGAAACTGAAAAAAAGGGGAGATCCCCATCTCAAAATCTAAACAGTTTACATCTCTGCCCTCTACTTCAGCTAATTTATACTCCCTGGACGAAAGGCCTGTTAGTGGCTGTGTCATTTGGAACACGGCCACTAGAGGAAGAGATGGAATCACTCTTAAAAGATTTCCACTTTGAAGATTTCTGCTTGAAATAAAGTTCTTGACTTCCCAAAGAAGCCCTCACACAGAAGTGCTTGACTATTGCTCAGTGTCAGAGATTTTCAATGGGCAGAAACCAGGTTACGAAACCTATTGGTCAATAGATGCTTAGTAGAAGAAAATAGTTGCTTATTAAATTTAAACAAAATATCTCAAAAAGCCATGTCTGCTCGACATAAGTGTTTGGAAATACAACTGAACTCTTGTTTAAACTGCCCCTATTATGCAATTTTTAAGGTTCCTTCCTAATATTGTTTTGGGAGCCTCCTACAACAGGTTTACATGCATGCAAGGTCAAAAAACACTTTCGTTGTCTCGTAATATACATTTAATTTCACTGCAATTCTCAATGATTCGTAAACGATTCGTACAAAGCAGTTCTGAGATACAGTTTCTCTAAACCCCTCCTTTCCGTGAGACTACTCTGCTCTGATTGGTCAGATGGCCCAGTCCTTTGTTATTGGTCTACTGCGTACAGCGCGTGTCGGAAACGAAACACCCATTGCCATAACTGAACTGACAGCTCCGGAGAGAATGTATAGAGAGAAAAGATGCTACACTGTTTCATGGTGGTTCAAGTTGTTTGTGGCCAGACAACGTAGAATATAGGCTAGCATTATGCAAATGTGTTACCCAGTGTCATGCAGCCATCATGGAAATGGGATTCTAATTCCTGACGACTCATTTAGGTGATTCAGAGTCGATTATTTTATTTGAGAGACGATAACTTTATTTACCGTGCACTGTCGGCTTCACAGCTTTGCAGATAGTTTACATTCATCACATACGGCTACATTACACACTGCATGAAAGGCAATATTCGAAATGGCATAATAGGGGCACTTTAAGAGTGACGGCTGGCTAAGCTTTTTAGTAGGTATGTGGAAGACAATGTTTGTTCACGTCATAGGCAGACAGAGAGGCAGTATGAATGACATGAAGAATGACAGAGACGGAGGGTTGTGGTGGGAATGGAATCTCTTGCCTGCTTCATTGTGGGCTGCTGTTGTGTCCTCTGGCTGCTCCAGGGTGTGCCTGGTCAAGTTTACCCCTTGAGACTCCGGACCACTAATAGATCCTGCAAGACACATTGGAAAACCTTGAAAAAAACACAACTTCACAAAGAAAGATCCAGCAGTGCCTAAACCGTACAAAAACTTGACATAATTCCATGCAAAAGTTCATATAACAGTTGTGAATATGTGACACCTCATGAAGCAAACTATTAATATCCAAAAGACAGTCCTGTCCATGCTGCTAATCTACTTTACACATCTTCTCAGTTTTGGTTTGAGAAAATGTGTTTGTTAAACCAGGATCACACAGTCGCCACAGGAAGTTCATAACAGTTAACAGTGCTGTTTTAGCTTGAATTTGCTTTTATTTGAATGTTTTCTGTTTTAATTTTAAAACATTAAGTTCTAGTTGTTGTGTTATGTGCCTTTGTCATATTTAATGTATTTTTTATATTAAAAAATTACCATATATTTATTTATTTATTTATTGCCAAACACCCTAGTTGTTTGGAATTTTTCTTGGTGAGCTCATCAACAATAATAACGAACATTAAAATACATACAATATATAAATACATACACAAACACAACTATCTATGTCCTATCAATTATAAGGAGTGAAATACAGATGCATAGACACCAGAGGAATTAAGAGCATGAACAATCCCACAATAAGTGCTGTTCAAAAAACATGTAGACTTAGTTTGAATTGCTCTAAGGCGTCTGCCTGAAGGAAGAGGCGTAAAGAGGTGTCTGGCTGGATGTAAGGGATCTTTCAGGATTGTTAAACCTTTTTTCTGCAAAAGTGAAACATAGATCTCATCAATAGTGGGAAGATCACAACCAATAATTTTCGATGCAACCCTTTAGCTTTCATTTATTTTTATTTCAGTTTTAGTTTTAATATTTTAGTGTTTCAACTTAAAATAATGTTATTTCAGTTAGTTGCCAAGACAACACTTCTAAAATAAAAAACTTTTTTTTCCATGTAATATTTATTTTACCATACCTTTATTCTAATTAACAAAAAAAGTTTTATTAATAGTTTAGTTTTCGTTAACAACAACAACACCGTATCTTTTTTGTATTCCACAGAAGTAAGTAAGTTATATAGGTTTGAAACCACAACTGCATACAGTAGTTTATTAGTGCATTTAATTTACTGCTAATGAAATATAGCTTCTCAGATGCAGCAGTGATGTGGTCTGGCAGTTGCATACATGCAGGCCATTGTCCAACTATCATTTCTGCTTCCATAACGATCAATCATCTCTCTGACACTTAATTAGCGACTTTCAGCCTTGCAGGACCAATTTTTCCAGAAGAACACAAAAAGATCATCTCAACCTTACAACAATAATCATGTTAGGCAACTTCCTATCTATGCTTGGCGTAAACCAGATGACCCACATGCAAGCAATAATTAAAAGTGTGCAGCTCTAAAAAGCAGTCAGAACCATCACAGTTGGAATGCTGAAAGTTATGAATCTCAGCAGGACACATTACATAATCATGACAAACTTGCTCTAGAACAATCAGAGCACAATCCAGACTTGGCAATTAACAGTATATGTGCAATAACCTCAAGGAGTTGACATACAGAGTGTAGACTAGCTTGTAATTCTTCATGACAGTGGACACACACAAACAAGACAAATAAATGACCACAAATACGCTTACACACTCATAAGCATTCAGGTTTAGTAAAGCCTCATTGTTCAGGGGAAAGCAGAGAGATTAAGATGTCGGATCATGACTGGAGTCTTGATAGATAGATAGATAGATAGATAGATAGATAGATAGATAGATAGATAGATAGATAGATAGATAGATAGATAGATAGATAGATAGATAGATAGACAAGCAGAGGAAGAGAACAACAGAACAAAAAGAGAAGTGGAGTGGTGGAGAGATGGAACGCAGCCGGTTGAAAAGGAAGAAATCTGCACAACAGTGTGACATTGTAAGGAACAGAAGGTAAGGGTATCAGCACCTGTGGTGGTTGAGCTGGAGACCGGCTGCTTGGCTTCAGTAGCTGCCTCTACATCTGCAGACGCCACACTCTCGCTTAGAGAAGGTCTCTCACGTGTGCCGTATGACTTACTTTTCTTCTCCCACTGGGATACAGCCAGACTACGCAAGAAATTGTCTCTATAAAGCCAACGGAGAAGCACTCATTTACTGAGATGTAAATGGAGGGTTTGGTACACATAAGTGTTCTGATTCTGCAGAATACAGTGAAACCATAAACTAGTTCAAATCACAAAGGCATATACTAAATTTGAGCTGGACTGAATACTTTCTGTTTGTCCAGACTTCTATTTAGTACAGTAACAAAAATATAAACTTACCTGTCAAAAGTTTGGGATCAGAACGATTTTTAATGTTTTCTACAGGAGTTTCTTATGCTCTTCAAGGCTGCATTTATTTGATCAAAAATAAAGGAAAAATATAATTTTGTGAAATGTTATGATGATGTAAAAACGTTTTTCTATTTTAATACACATTAAAATCGAATTTATTCCTGTGATGCAAAGCTGAATTTTCAGCATCATTACTCCAGTATAAAGGGTCACATGATCCTTCAGAAATCATTCTAATATGCTGATTTATTATCAGTGCTGGAAAATGTTGTGCTGCTTAATATTTTTTTGGAACCTGTGATACTTTTTTCAGGATTCTTTGATGAATAAAAAGTTAAAAAGAAGAGCATTTATTTAAAATAGAAATCTTTTCTAACAATATACACTACAGTTCAAACGTTTGGGGTCAGTACATTTTTATTCTTTCTTTTTTTGAATTGATAATTGATTAAATTGTTAAGAAGTGATAGCAAATATAGAAAACATTTATATTTTGAATAAATGCTGTTCTTTTTAACTTTTTATTCATCAAAGAATCCTGAAAAAAGTATCACAGTTTCCAAAAAAATATTTGGCAGCACAACTGTTGCCAACATTGATAATTCTAATAATAAATCAGCATATTAGAATTATATTTTAAGGATCATGTGACACTTTATACTGGAGTAATGGCTGATGGAAATTCAGCTTTGCATCACAGAAATAAATTATATTTTAAAGGATATTAAAATAGAAACCATTATTTTATATAACATTTTGCAAGATTACTTTTTTCTGTATTTTTGATTAAATAAATGCAACCTTGATGAGCATAAGAGACTTCTTTAAAAAACATTACAAGTCTTACTGATCCCAAACTTTTGACCGGTAGTGTATATATATATATATTTATATTTAAAGGTTATTACACTCTTGATCAATACCATGCAGTTATGCAAAGTATACAAAGAGACAACAAATCAAAAATATTGTACAGGAAGGCAACATGGAATAATAAATAAATGCACTTTAAAAACAATTTTTAAAAAGCCCTGTGTCAGACAAAGCCCACCACCACCACCACCATATAAATTATTCTCATCAATCATTTCCCACAATTTCAAATCTACTTTACTTCTAAGCTTAGATAAATGTAGAAAACAATGCAGAAAACAAATTTTCTGCATGATTACTTGTTTCAATAACCACCATGCTGATCAGATTTGATTAACTCAGAGTCAAGCATTGGCTCTCCCCACAGTGATCCACCAGAAGAACTGTCAGTCACACTGAGGCATGTGTGCCAAGAATAAACGGCTTCACATGAATGACATATTCATGATGAAATCTATTATAAGATTTATGTTTTTTAAAACTTGCTGAGAAAGGCAGTAGATAAGAATGTAACCGTTAAACCCAGTGCCACTGCATTAAAACTTGTTACTTCTACGTAGAATCATTAATATTATAAGAATTATACTACATTCAATTAAAAATAAATAGCCAAATTAAAGGTTAATATTCACACACAGCCTCAGTTTCTGAACGTAGCTAGCCCCCAAACACCTGGCTGCATGCTGATGTTTGCAGAAAGAGAGCCTGTAACCATACAGAGCTGCTGTATACTTACTCATAATTCCTCAGAACCGGCAAGTCTCTATTCACACTCTCTGGACTGAAGAGAAACACTTCAATTTACACACTTTGCCCATATCACTCCTGTTAGCTACACTGCACAAGTCTCATTAAATGTATAGTAAATACCTTTAGAAAAACCTGTTGACATTACACCACATCTGGTTTAACTATGGCTTGATTAAAGCTGCGAGAAAAATGCTTTGTGGATTTTCTGGCAATTTCAACAATAGCTCATTTTTCCATGAATGGCGATATGATAGCAGCACATAATAAGACAGGAGATAAAGTTATCTTTGAGTAGCAACTTGAGATGAAAGAAGAAATGTACTTTTCCCATGACAGAAAACAGAAAATAAAGAATGACAATGAGGGGGAAAAGGCCACAGAGGAAAGAATTATTGTCCATTCATGACAATATAAAGGCAACTCTCACTTCTAAACTTTGATAAATATTCTGCACTAATGCAATTTCTGCATGAACTATCAGAAATCAGAAATATCCAAGTAGCATAGCAAACAATAAAAGAAAAAAAAATTATTTAAAAAGTTAACCATGCATGAAATGTATCTTTTAAAACATATTCATTTTGTTAGAATATTTTTTTGTGGATTAGTCTTTGGCAGATATAATGGATCGATTTAATTTATTCTAAAATTTCCAGCCAGCAGTTGTTTCCTCCATCCCTCCCTCTATGACTTTGTCTCCCCAAAATGACTAAGCATCACAATGATTTAAAGTGCTAGCACCTCCAAAAGCCACATTCTTTGGCCACACTGCAGCTACTCACCAAACACTGTCTGCCTGGTGCTGTCTGTAAAAGGAGAGAGAAGCAAAACGCAGGAATGTTGGGTGCCACAGCAGTGGAGGAAGAGATTAGGAGACGTGCCAAATATTACGAGAGAAGAGAGGAGAGGAGTGAAAGGTGCAGGGGGAGACAGAAAGAGAGAATACACACAAAAAGAGACCGAGAGAAAGCAAGATAGGTAAATCAGGTAATTGGCAAAAACAGAAAGGAAAATAGAACAAAAAAAGGCAAAGAACATATTGAAGAAAGCAAATCTGTTACAAAGTACAAATACAAGTCAAGAGCATTTGAGTAAAAGAATAAAGATAAAAGAAACACGCCTGATCTTAGGCATTAGAGGGAAAATAATAGGACTAATCCTCAGTGTAGCAATTCCAGATATTTCAAGTTATAAGTTAAGAGAACAATTAACTAAACACTTTAACACTTAATTCCATATTTTTTGAGACCTCAAAAATCGAAGACTTACCTATTTTCCTATAATTGCACAGTTAGCGCAGTAGATTCCCATATATATTTTTTGCCACAGATCACACTGTTCAAAACCGCTTACGCCATTCAACTCATCCTTGTTTTGCTCCTTCAAGACCTTCAAGTTCTTCCCAAAATGCCCTGCCTTCTCTAATACCTACACCTCCTTTCACATCTCTTTCCTCTGCCTTTCCCCTCACTCCTCCTATCACAGGATCAGTCGCTTGCTTACTTGAAGACTCGCTTTCCCTCCGTCCGGCTGGGTTGCTCTGCTGCCGTCTGGGAAGGGACCTCCTGAGGAGAGTCAGTTTCTGTGAAAGACGCTCTGTGGAGAGACAATTAGTTAGTGCAAGCTAAAGACTACAGCACAGTATGGGCAGTTTCATGTGAATCAGGTCCACACATACACAAACACAAAAAGGATGTGCATGTCGGTAAATGTGTCTCTCCATCCACTTCGAAATACACTATTTGAAGGTACAGTATTTTGTTTCAAAAAACAACATCTAATTTTCACATTCAGCTTTTCTTATGGATACAATACTGATACAGCTCCTGTAAGAAAAACAATACATTAAGGCTAACGCATGTTAATGCTTTCAATATCATGAAATAACAATGAATAACTTCACAGCGTTTATTAATATTGGTAAATGTTCATTTCTACATAAACTACCATTAAAATAAATACAGACATTGTGCATTGTGTATTTTACAATAGAACGTTTTTTCCCCTTCTATTTTAATGCATTTTAAAATGTAAATTTTTCCTGTGATGGTAAATCTGATTTTCACCATTACTCAAGTCTTCAGCATCACATGATGCTTCAGAAATGGCACTCAAGACACATTTATTATTTTTACTGTTGAAAAAATATATATATACATTTTCAGGATTCTCTGATGAATAGAGAGCTCAAAAGAACAGCATTTATTTTATTGAACTTTTTTTTAACAATTTCTGTAACAATTTAACTCTTTGCTGTCACTTTTGATCAATTTAATGCATCCTTGCTGAAGTATTGTCCTTCAACTACAAAAAAAAACTATAATAATAACAATAAAAGTAGTAGTAGTATAGTCATGAATGCTACCCATTCATATAATTACTAACTAAATCAGTATAATTTCATAAACTAATAAATGACTATCAGCACTGGCCAGCTGTAACAGCAGTTTGCTAATCTAATATGTAGGAATGTAACGATTCACTCAACCCACGATTCGATTTTGATTTCAAGATTCGATTTTCTCACCATTTTTTTTTTACAAAATGAGATTGAAGACATTATACAGTAAATTAAAAGGTGTCGTTTTATTAGGCGAACAAAGATGCAGCATACATGCAGCATGAGTAGTTTTTAAATCTAAAGCAAAAACAGAATGGTCTGACTTTAGTTTTGTGAAACTATACTACATAAAACATATCTGAACGAAACCGCAGACGAGCTGAATGAGACGCAGATTCACATTCTGACAGCAGGTGTCACTCATGAAACAGCAGTTTGCTAATCTAATATGTAGGGATGTAACGATTCACTCAACCCACGATTCGATTTTGATTTCAAGATTCGATTTTCTCGCCATTTTTTTTTTTACAAAATGAGATTGAAGACATTATACAGTAAATTAAAAGGTGTCGTTTTATTAGGCGAACAAAGATGCAGCATACATGCAGCATGAGTAGTTTTTAAATCTAAAGCAAAAACAGAATGGTCTGACTTTAGTTTTGTGAAACTATACTACATAAAACATATCTGAACGAAACCGCAGACGAGCTGAATGAGACGCAGATTCACATTCTGACAGCAGGTGTCACTCATGAACAGCAATGATACAGTGTTTCCTGTAAACAAAGCAGAGCTGCATGAACACTACTTTAATATGCATTGTTCAGAGGTAAGATGAAAAGAAAATACCACGTAAACTTTTCTAAAGACTGTCAGATCCCCTCAGAGATACATTCATATAAACTGCTACTCCAATTGTATCGCGATTTGTTTAGCATCTCAACCGATTTGAATAGTCACATATTTTAATAGATTTTCGACCGGCTCACGGTTAATCGTTACATCCATATGTGATGTTTCTTCAGACGGATCACTTTGAACCCTCCTGCTGCTTCATTAGAGTCAGCACTTTTATTTATCATTTTGCAGATGAGCTGACATCATGGCTACAGTGAGCAGAAAGCTGTGAGAGGCTTCTTCTGCGGTTCTGCTCGAGAAAGCAGCATTCAGGACTTCTTTAGTGTGCTACAATAATCCTCTCCTGCAACTGCCAAGTTCTCACTGCAAAAACCTCCCTGCCACCATTTGTTCAGAGTGCTATTATGTTTCTGTAGTCTTGTTTTGTGTGGCCATTAGTTCACCTTTTATATTTGTGATGCACCTCGTCAACTGTCAGATATTTAATAAGACACACAAAAAAAAACTTGTACATGTGCGTGAGTGTTATATGTTGTAATTATTGTTAGTTCAGAAAAGTTTGAAATGAGATTAATTTATTGTTGAAGTTACTCTGGCTTGCTGACCTACAAACTCAAAAATCCAGATTACTTTTAATATAATATGAGCTCTAAACTGGCCTCATATCAGTAGCCAGGACAAGTTCAACAAACATCAAACAATTAGTCAAAGGCTCAAAAGCAGAACATGATGTAAATGTGATACAGACCTGCTGGAGATGCTTGAGGTTTCCTCTGTTATAGACCTCTCCTTTTTTAACCTCCGTCTAGAAATCCCCATGTGAGCTATGTACTGACTCATAAAAGAGCGCCCCCTAGTGAATGACCGAGGAATTGTGGGAGGGAGGAAAGAGAAGTAGAGAGAAAGAGGTGGAACAGTGATGGTGGTTACATGGACAAACAGAGGGTTAATATGTTGACAGGACCAAAACATCAGCAAGAATCAGAGAAACAGTCCCAACCACCCAGAGCCATTGTGAAAATATGCAGTACTAAATTAGAAGAGGAGGAAAATGGCATATGAATAGAAATTGTTATAAATAAGGATACACAAAAGTGAATGATCACCAGTGTTAACCAAATATTACAAAAACTTATCCTAAAAGATCGTTTATGCAACAGAAACAATGCTAACTTTATGTATTCCATATATTTATTGAAAAATTATGCAATTTATGTACTACTATGCATATGCATAAAACTAGGCATATGCAATTAAAGTGATCACAAAAATTTTAATAAAATATAAACTGCTGTTTTATTGGATTTAATTCTTGTGCTTGTGACTGGTCACGTTCCTCTGTGACATCACATTAAACTGGCGAAACATTTAGAGGAAAACACAAGCTCAGATCAAGAGAGCTGATAGGCAGATCACAATTGTGCCCAGTTCTGGACCTCTCAGACCAAACACATCCTGTCCAACCCTAGAAAACATTCCTGTAGCTCTACGCAGAGAAGAAAGCTTCCCAAATAAAACACTCGCTTTCCACATATATGTGCAAGGACTGTTGACTCAGTAAGACATTTCACTTTGGCCAAAGGCAACACTTGAAATAGCACATTGTGACTTGGGCAAACTGGGAGAAGCAGCCAACCAAAACTTCTCACATACCCCATCTACAAAACCCAGAAGCACCTGACAATCTGAAAACTTCAACTGATATTCACAAGCTTTTAAGCATACATGTAACTAGAATGTAATGCTATTTACCCATGTGTGATGCAGATCTGCATTATCAATATAACAAAATAGTATATTTTCTACGCACAATTATGTTTATATAAATGGCTTATGAAGAATGAGAATGGTAGATTATTTGAGTCAATTTGTCGGGTATCTTGAGTGCCACATGGTAATTACATAAGACACCCAGAGCATAGTAAATAAAATGAGCATTAACTACATGAATCTAAGTAATTAGGTCACCTGTGTAAGGACTTCACCTACACAGACTGGAAAATATTACTCATTACTTTTACCACTAATGTTGCATGTATCAACCACTGACCATTCATGTGCAAAGACTCTGATAATGACATAGCAATGATATAGCAGATTCGCAGTTAGGCTGGACACTGTAAAGTAGGTAGGTACTAATAACAGAGTTTTTCAAACATGTGACAAACATTATGGGGTGCTCCGATCAGGATTTTTGAGGCCAAAACCGATCGCTGATCACAGAAAGCAGTATCTGCCGATACGATCACCGATACCAATCTTTTTACAGCCTTCTTTTTATCATGTAGAATTATTTATAGTGATGATTAAAACAAGATTTTTAGACATTTATTCAGGGCCTAAATTTCATTTTTGAAAATGAATTCCTCTTTTAGGTGACTCTTGTGAGAGGGGATTTTTTTATTTGAGGGGTGGAGGGGGGAATTTTTTAGACATTTTTCACAAATATATATTTATCTCACCTAAATATTTGATCATGCACTACATTTTTTGTTTTGACAATCGTGCAATTGTTGCACAATAGCCTACAAACAGCACAAGCCTGATTTCGTGAGTTGTGAGGCGGCCTTTTACACAGTGTTCACACATACTCCATTTGCAGTGCATATGCAGTCCATGTGTGGTACGCGAGTGGTACAGAAGCAGCAGGTGCTCACTGTGCTTTCACACAGGAGTCTGCAACTGATCCGTGGCTGTTTAATACAAACACAACATTTATCCATTATTTTGATTTCAAATCCAAACATTGTTACTTAAAATACTTCTCCAGCATTGCGATTCTTTTTTTACACAGTACAGTAATACAATCTTTCACAGACATGTTTAAACGCAATAAATATAAGAAATACATTATTCAATGCTTTTTACTTTTGCATTTACTTCTAGATTTATATATTAAGTTGCTCAAGCAATTGGCAAAATGTCTAAAGTACTTTTCTTACATTATCACAAGCATTCTAAATTAAAACTTACCATTGACAGAAATAGTCAGCTCTACTGCCTTTTCCTTTGCATTTAATTCTTTATTACACGCAATCCTGCGGCTCATAAAGAACTTTGTTTTCCTACCTCCATTAGTGCCATCTATTATTGCCTTGTTTATCTAAAAGTGCCCTTTTCCTTTAAACCTAGCCAAAAAGCCATAGCCTGTGTGTTGACTTTGAAACACAGTTGACTTTAATTATATGCATTTATGGTATAATCACTGCATTTTCGTGTCAATCCATGATCATTTTACCGTGTGCGCTGTTACTTTAATTCAGCGCGTGCAGCGCAGCAAAAATAGACTCATGCGGAAACGATCTCTGCACTGCTGCAGACACACCGCTCCTGGAACACACTGCCGGACAGCAACCGTGTGCAGTGTGAACGCTTTAATCCGTTAACATGAGCGCGGACAAAATACGCACCGCAAACGGAGTAATGTGAACCTGGCATTATGTGTGTGCGCTGCGAGTGGACATAAGCGAACGGTCTCCAGGAGAGTGCGTGAGCGCTGAATGGTTTACGGCCTGCCGAGAGTTTTCATCCGGCCCGCGAGGAGGTGGTCCAAATTGGCTAATTTGATGCAATGTCAGTAAAATCCAATAGATGGCGCTGTAGCCTGTAGTGCGGTATATAATATAACCCCCGATTTAAGGCTGATTTATACTTCTGTGTCGGACCTACGCCGTAGGCTATGCGTCAGTTTTCATTTATACTTCTGCGTCGTTGTCCGCGTCAACGTGCAGTACACATGCAAACCGCTAGTCTGCAGTGTCCACGGGCATGTTGCTGGTGTAACCCGCAGTACCACGGCAGAAGAAGCGGCTCGTCGGAGAAGCATTATAGCCATGACGGCGGCAAATAAATATCAAATCATTATTTGAAACTACAAAAAGGAGACAACAACGGAACAGGAGATGATGGCATTGAAGAAGCGGCTCGTCGGAGAAGCATTATAGCCATGACGGCGGCAAATAAATATCAAATCATTATTTGAAACTACAAAAAGGAGACAACAACGGAACAGGAGATGATGGCATTCTTTCAATCTGCACAAGGACTTGTACCACGGCAGATCTACATTGTTTGTTGTGGACAACTACTGATGTATAATGCTATGTAGTATAATAAATGATAAGACATTTGTTCTTTGCTTTGTTTTATTTTATATAAGGTGTAACATTAAAATATATTAAAGTGCACATAAACACACACAAAACTCAAGTACATATGAAAGGAGGGGTTCTTGCAAACCAATCACAGCGCTTGCGGTCTGCGTAGAATTGACGCGCTGTTAGATTTTTGGAGAGGTGCACGTCAGGCTACAGCGTATGGGTGTACTATGCGTAAGCTACGGCATAGGTCCGACGCAGAAGTATAAATCAGCACGCGCATCTGTTACAGCTCCGACGCGGCCACCAGAGCTGATCGCAGCCAATGCTTGTGATTCTGCACCGCTTCGTTATAGATAGGTGCCTAGTCTATTTATTACGGATGCTGCACAGCTCAAATACAAAATCAAAAATCAAAATATACACCCTGTGTAAAACTGCATAATTGTAACTTTTAAAAATGTTCATTTCAAAAATACCTTGTATTGGTAGCCTACTATTTTAAAAATGCTTTATGCTCTGTAGACCTTCCAGTAGGAGAACAAGTGCCAGTGAAATGTAGTGGAAATAATTTTTCGTTTTATCTTGCAAAGATTACGTTTTCCACACATATTTTTATGAAAATGGATATAGTTATTTTCTGGATTATAAATCCCATTTTAAAGGGGTCATATGATGCGATTAAAATTTTTCCTTTCTCTTTGAAGTGTTACAAGCTCTTGGTGCATAAAGAAGATCTGTAAAGTTGCAAAGACTAAAGTCTCAAATCCAAAGAGATATTCTTTGTAAAAGTAAAGAGTCAACCACACCTACCTAAAACGGCTCGTTCTAACACGCCCCCACATATCTACATCACTATGTGGGAAGATTTGCATAACGCCACCCAAATGTTCACGCAAAGAAAGAAGGCGTAACTTTAATTATTGCTGTTGCCGCCGCTGCCATGTTGTGGAGACACTGTGTGTTTCGTTGTGAAAGCAAAACTACTTTGTTTGGCCTTCCAAAAGAGGACACAACTAGAAATCAGTGGTTAAGTTGTATTTACTACACTGTTCCAGAACAGTTTCACTCTAGGCCTCCGCTCACTCAAGGCCGCGGTGCGTGACGCTGTTTCGTTGTGAAAGCAAAACTACTTTGTTTGGTCTTCCAAAAATGGACATGACTAGAAATCCCTGTAGCAACAATAATGTACAGTGTGTGGAAAATAATGGGTTTTTTTAACCTTAAACCGCATAAACATTTCATTACACCAAATAATGTTCTTTTTAGCAGCATCATATGACCCCTTTAATCATCTGAAACGTGCTGCGATTCCGAAGGCGACTTATTTAAAACAACCAGGTCAAGCGCAAAGCACGCACATTAGGATTGGTGACGAATGAGAAAGGCAAGTGAGTTTGTATTGCGCATTTTCCAGTAACCACGCCACTAGTTTCAGTTTCTCTTTAAATATTTAGGTTGAGCGTTTGTAATAAATGTTTATAGTGAATGCCAATAATTTGTTTTACTTATATTTTTGTTCCTTTTTCTGTTCTGAACACTGCTAAATTTACAGGATTTTTTGTGGAGTGAGGGGAATATGTACATGTTTCTAATGTTTGTAAACGTTTAGTTCATTTTACATTATTTATGAATGAAATGATAAAATGTGTCTTATAAATCAATCGACTTGTATACCAATACAACTTATCTGCGTCATAAAGTGCTCATAAAAAATAAGGCAGAGATGGTAGAAGAATATAACTGCCATGCATGTACAAGTAGGCATACAGTTAGGGTTGGGTATCGTTAGAAATTTTTCGGTTCCGATTCCGGTTCCATTTAAATGAACTTTTTTTTTAAATTTTTTTTTACAATTTTACCTTCATTGAATGTAGTGTTGCTGGAAGGTAGTAAGTAATGTTGAGTAATGCTAGTCCATCAATCACATGTGCTTCAAAGTTGATGTTTTTTACACTATCAATAACATTTTGCTTTTCAAGCAGGAATAAGCTGGTTGGCCAAATAGTCCCTTGAGGGCTTAGACACTTGTTAATTTCCATAAATTAATGAAATATTAACTGTTATACTTATAACCATGTATACACACACTCCATAAAGCCCATATTTTACAAATAATAATGCAGTCAGGAGATGGTGTGATGCAATGAGTGGTTTCCACATTTTTAAACATTTAAAATGCATGAAAATAAATAGTTTCTATCACTTTGTTTATCACTCTTGAAATGACCTGTACACTAAATAATATAACCCTCATACTTGCATAACAATAGCAGTCTATTTATTTAGTGGTCCAAGTTGAAGTCAGTATGTATATTAATGACAATATGGGCCAAAAAGCTGCGCGCTGCCGGTACGTGTACAGTGAGACAAAACAACGTGCACAGTTATGAAAGACGCGAGTGCGCGTACACTCATGGAAAACGATGTGTTCGGCAGTTAAAGGCGTGGCGTGTCTGTGGAGTGAGTGTCATGGGAAGCAATGCGCTCAGTAATTAAAGAGGCAGGGCGGCGTTTCTGTTATTTAGTTTGTGACATCCTTTACGGGAAACGCCGGCGCAAGGCTGCTCACAGCGCTTGGTTACATGTCGCACCAGAACCGTTTTTGGAACCGAAACGTAGAAATAGCTCACGGTTCTGGTTATTTTCAAAAAACAGAACCGGTTCTGAATAAGAACCGGTTCTCGGTTCCCAACCCTACATACAGTACAGTAGCGGCCGATATTAATAATAAATTTTTTTTTAAAAACTTTATTTGTCATACACAACTATGCGGCCCCTCACTTAGTGTGGAAAACTTAATGTGGCCCTCGAAGTCAAAAAGTTTGCCCACCCCTGGTTTAAACACTGGCAAGAATTAAAAAGAAATGCAATTTATAAACTTTAGTGACGATGCGACACTGCCTTGATTGTGCAAGTGACAATTTCTGTGTCAACTGTGCAGCTCGCTTATAATGCAGACGCGATGTGGTGATTTGAAGCCATTTGCGCATTTTCAGAGGGAAACAGAGAGAGCGTGTTGTGATTCACTCACGCTGTTTGTGAAATTACGTCTCACAGAAAGTTTTCAAATTAGCTACTTTATAAGTTATTTATTGAAGAAATATGAATTGTACCTCACCTTCAGCATTATAATTATTTCACCCGCGCCGTACAGAGACTGAGACAAGTGCCGCTGCATGTCGTGCCAAACCTCTCACAGCAGGCGCGTCATCAGCTTGAGATCGGTTTTTAGAGATCGGCCTTTTTAGAGACCGCCGATCAAACATCACCAACTCGATTATCGGCCGATAGTGATCGGAAGCCAATCAATCGGAGCACCCCTAAAACATTACATTAAAAGACTGCACAGATGTTAACATTAGTGTGTGAATAATAGCTGTGTGCCTGCATAAAGAAGACAGCAGGATTGTGTTTATCTCTTGTCATTCCCTCATCCACACGGTCAAAGAACAAACTAGAAGGAATGTTTGGTCTGGTCAAATTTGTAAAAAAAATATATGTATAAATAAATAAATACATTAAAAAAATAATGAATGTTATTGTAGGTTGAGAACTTGTGAGACGCACATTTGCCTTACTTGAATAATCCATCTCAGAATGGATTCACATCTGTGATAGCTACAAGTCATCCTATATGAAAGATTTATTTCCTACAGTGTCACGAGTCTCACGACTGAAAGGTCTGCTTATGTTACACTGCCACACAATGGAGAAACAATGCATTGCCGTATGAAAATCCTTCAATATATCCTTACTGTTTTTTGCTCTGTTTGATTATGGAAAAGTTTAGTAATACAAAACATATTCCAAGTATATGATAGGTTTATGAATGTGTAAGAATGCATAAAAACACAACAAACTGTTAATACTCACAAGTTGTGTTCTTGCTCAGGAGGGGCTGCAGACTCTGCTCCATTAGTCACCGGAGTGAGAGGAGAAGTGGGTGAGCTAAAGGTCGTAGAGGAGGGACTGGTCAATACAGGACTGCCAGAAACAGGAGAATAAGAGGAATCTGACAGCTGTAGGGAGGCTGTACGCATCACCTCTGAAACACAAAAGGTACAAATGAAGTGTGAATGCTATAATCTTTTAACATGGGATCTGAAATGACAATGCGCAGACACTGAATGTGTGAGACATGCCCTTCAGTGGATAGCACAAGGTACAAGAACAGGGACGGAGAGAGACTGCATTGAAGATACCTGGGGTAGGGCTGTTAGAAGAGACTGATACAGTTGGGGAACCTGGTCGAAAGGAACTATCTGTAAGATTGTGAGAAGATGACCGCCGGCTCCTCCTGCCCTCCTGCTCACTGGGTGTCAGTTTCCTTCGGTCTTTACGGGCATTCGGTGCCCCTTCATCGATCTCACCATCTTCATACTTGAGGGCATTCTACATAATATACAAAACACAGAAATCATTCACTATTTGTAGAGTTACACTACTGTTTAAAAGGTTGGCGTCAGATTTTTTTTTTATGATTTTGACAGAACACTCTTAAGCTCACCAAGGCTGCTTTTATTTGATTGCAAATATGGTAAAGACAATTGTGTAATATTATTACAATTTAAAATATCTGTTTTCTATTTTAATATAATTAAACATGTAATTTTAACATGTATTACTGAAGCTGAATTTCTAGCAGCCATTAGTCTTAAATATCAAAAATCATTCTAATATGCTGTTTTTGTATCAAATGTTTTAACTATCACTTTAGATCAATTTAATTGGTCCTTACTAAATAAAAGTATTAATTTCTTTATTTAAAAAAAATACATACTGACACCACATTTTGAACAATAGTGTATATGTCTGAAATATGGAGTGTTTGAGGTGTACTGGGAGTTTACCTCATAAATGATGAACTGCTGTTTAATGTCACCCTCGGTGCCGCTGCTAGTCATACGTTTCTGGACTATGTTTTCCATTCCTAGCTGCTCCAAACAGTCTGTCACATCATAAAATGAGTCCTGATCAGGAAGCGCAGCCAGAGTCTGGGAGGCCAGAGGGATAAATCCATATCAAGGACATTGAGGCTTCAGCACTGTGCTGATGTGGATCACGGTTGTAGACTGGTATGTCTAATCTGTGTTTTACCTTGTTGATGAGGGTCATGGTGTAGATGAGCAGCTCTGTGTCTGATCCATTCTTCTCTGACAGGATATCTGTTAGATATGTCCAAGGCTTTACTCCTGAAAGAGACAAAGTACACCCTAAGCTCCCTTGAAAATAATGTATTAAAAAATATCTGTATTGTGATGATAATGACAGAAAAAAATTATGAATGGCACATGATGGATTCAGAATATAAGTGTCATGAGAGAATGTTTAAACGTGTTTAACCTCTCTTTCCATCCACAATGGTGACAGCTTGAATAAGCAGTTGACTGTTGGACTCAGTGTATTCCACAAACACTATCAGCAACTTCAGAGCTGTCTTCACAACCAGCCGAGACTGAAGAGAATGAGAAAGAGGCCATAAAGAGGCAGTATTTACGGTCCTCTTACAGAAGATGGCAGTATCAAACCTCAATAAGGCTCAGTTATAATCTTTTTAATGCATTCAAGTTCTGCACACAATAGTGTATACTGACAAAATAAACATAAATCTTCAACATTAATACAATAACTTACCACTAGTATTTTGTGTTTGTTGTAAATAAAAACAAAGTCTGGTTCAGGTTTTATTTCTGATAGTTACTTGATTACTCATTCACTCGATTCTCATTTTCTCTTCCTCTTTGATATCATGCAGAAGGATATGACCTCAAACTGACGCTCAAGATGACTGTATCCATTACAGTAAAAAGTGTACAAATCTCATGTCAACAGATTCACACGAATTTTACACAAAGACACTTCCAAAACTATACATGCATATTTTAAATTTGTAAAGATGCAAACTCAACCGAGCAATGAACCAAACTTGAAATGGTTGCACAACATCAGCCAGTTTATTATAGCCATTTCAATATCAAGTAGCTACTGTAGTAATAAGCATTTCTGTGGAGGATTTGACAAACCATTCTCCCACAACAGTAATATATTTAACTTTAATAATTAGAAGAGAAGGTTGTGAGTGAAGATCAAAATACTTGATTTTGCTCCAGATTCACATCTACATCTCTGCACTAGCTTGCACTTTTCTGGCCAACCTTTTTTTTTTTTTCTAATTTTACATTGCCTTAGGATGAACTAACTGTTTTGCTGAACTGCATTTGTTTTCTTTTCTTTCTGTTTTTTAATGTACACATTTGCCAGAGACTTTAATCCAAAGCGACTTCAATGTATACAGCAAATCAGTTCATGCATTACCCAAGAATCAAACCCATGACCTTGGTGTTGTGAGCACTATGCTGTAAGTGGCTTTGGATAATTTAGCAGATAAGCATTTGCTCAATGAGTTGATGAACAGTAAAAGTAATCCAGCCCTCAGGAATCAAATGATTATCACATACAATCAACTTTTGAACATTAATCTATTGACTCTTAATTCGGCTGGCATGTTGTGGTATTAAAATGTCAAGGTGCATTAATACACAACCACTGATGGAACATGATCCTAACGTAAATAATACTGTATTGTGGTCAGTGTTTACAGTTACACAATGTGTGTGTTGCCGTCACTCACCAGGCTGCCAGTCAGTGTGTACAGCCACTGTACAGTCTCGTTGTGGTTCACAACACCGTTCATTCCGTCCACAAAAAGCATGATCTGACTGAGAGCTGGGAACAGGACAGCAGAGTTTACTGTGCAGTGCCGGCATGTTTGCTGGTCTAATTCTGGTCAGTATAAACTTACTGTTACAGATGGCCTACTTAGCCAAAAATATGTAATATCCTTTGTGCTATTTGAAGTCTGCATGCAAGATGTGTGGTGTACGTGCATAATAAATACATTATATTAGACTGATTTTAGAAACTCTAGACTGATACATATTCACACATCTTTCAAAGTCATGTCATGTTAATGATTAGTGAAAGAGTCATCAATAACCCTGCTAATGAATAAACATTTTTAATGGAGACATGCACAAAATATTTTGCAGCAGTGCTGCATATGCTCCAGTAAAGACACGGTGTTGAGAACAGACCTCTGAGGATGTAGTTCTGGTAGTTATGATCTGCCTCAGCACCCACTTTAATGAAACACGTCAGACCCTCAGAGACGACAAATTCTGGAACCAAGTCCTTATCATCCTGTGCAATATAAAACCGAATTAAGATCTGCCGCTGTGCACAACTGTAAAAAAACATTGCAATTTCCACAAAAATATTAAGTAGCACAACTGTTTTTAACATTGCTATTAATAAGAAATCATTAATGAGAAAACAAAAATATTAGAATGATTTCTGAAGGATCATGTGGCACTGAAGACTGGAGTAATGACTTTCTAAAATATTTTCAGTGGCCACTTTGCATGCCTATATATTTAATAAAATTTGTAAAATCTCAGCTTCTGGCATACTATTCCACAATAGTAAACTGTCGATCATAACTAGTTATATTATAATATAGTATATTATACATACAGTATGATCTATATGTAATGATGAACTATAGCATATCTTATATCATCTATATCTTATTTAATTTTCTTATATTATATTAAAACTTAACATGGGTTCCAGAAGCAATAAATACTATTAATGTAAAGGTAGATTGTATCAGTATTGCTTTGTTCTGTTGTGGGACACTTCCTCAAGACTGAATTTTGTGCTTATTTTTCCTCACAATTTAGAATAAATTTAGATCCCAATGTAACAGTACGTGGAAGAGACATCAAGTTTTTGTCAATCATTCTGTTCAGTATATACTTCTCTCTGTCCTGCTCTGACTCTCAGCATTTGTAACATCTCATTGTCCTTATCTAACTCACTCACATATAGCTTTTTCTCTTTTAAAAACTAGTTGTGTGTTTTTTTTCAGGATCTTACCTGAAAGAGTTGCTTTAAAGAAAACAAGGACCGCCGAAGCTCAGGACCATGGGAATTATACAACTTCTCTATAAGAAGGAGAAAAAAAATGTTATTCATCAGTCAATAGACAAGGGCATCAATACTTGTATCTAAGAGACAAAAAATGTTATTATTGCAGTGATACATTCACAAAGAGCACTTAAACACACACCTTATCAAGATACCTACTGACATAAAGATTAAAGTTCACAGCATGATTGAGTCACAGTCTCCGATTCAGTGTAATTCACTCAGCTAGCTAGATTTTACCAGTACAATTTGTGTGGTAGTAAACACAAGCAAACCATTTGCATTGATAAAAACAAGGTATCATTAAGTATCAGATGTTTGGAATTCTCCAACTAGCTTATCATTCAGAATCAGAGGAAATAAGAGGTGGTGTCCCTGACTGCCTGTAAACAGTCATTCCTGTCATATAAATACCTTTCACATATTTTGCTCTTGACTGACAGGTTAGTTATGAACCATTAAACTAAAACCATTTAACACACCGTTTTATTTTCTTGATAAGCATTTAAAATTGTTGTACTGTACCAGTCATAAGACACACCTACTCATTCTTTACCATTTTCCATATTTTAGAGCAACTACATATTCATTAAATCTGTGAAATTACACAAATGGACATATGGGAATGTTAAGTAGATCAAAACTTATTATATATTTTAGAAAAGCTGTCACTTTGTTTACCACTGCATTCTCTCAAACAGCTTCACAAGAAGTCCTTTTCCTTCACCATGTTGTCCAACTCATCCATTAAAAAAAGGTTTTGTTTTGAAAAGACATTCATAGGTGCAATCCGTGTCAACAAATGCCATTTCAAACGGTTACTAATAAAGATCCATTTATATAAGGTCTTTAAAGGGGTCATATGATGCGTGGTTGCCGCAAGCCCGCCGGATGCTTCTTCGTCGAATCCGCCGTCTCTGCTCACTCTAGCCCTCCGGCCGTTCCTTACTTTATCCCCCGGCCTCTGCTCACTCTAGGCCGCCGTGTGTGACGCTGCGTTTTGTTGTGAAAGCGCAACTACTTTGTTTGGCCTTCCAAAAATGGACTCGACTAGAAATCAGTGGTTAAGTTGTATTTACAACACTGTTCCAGAACACTTCAACCCAAATATTCAGATGTGTCCAGTACATTTTATGGAGGACCGTTTCCTGATCCTGGGAGAGTAGACTACAATGCCGGCTGTTCTGACTCAAAGACTGCAAGTATGGTTTTTTATATTTAAAGAGTTATATTTTATATATTTAAAGTGAGTTTTTTGGGCAGTGTAGAGTAGGGCTTGTTGTTTGTCATTTCTCGATCACAAATGCAGACATGGTTTTATGTTTACACGGCGCGATGCAACGCAACCATAATTATGTCCCCACTGGATGCAACGAATGCCTTGTTTATAATGGGTTTTCATGTTTTTGAATCATCGCTTCGGCCTGACAGGGCATCATCACAGTATGGTGAGGGGCATAACATTTCTGTCACACACTTGAGGTATTCGGCCAATCACAACGCACTGGATAGCTGGCCAATCCCAGCACACCTTTTCAGACCGATGAGCTTTGTAAAAATCGATGCGTTTCAGAAAGGTGGGACATAGAGGAGAAACAATGTACAGTATGTGGAAAATAATGTGTTTTTTAACCTTAAACCGCATAAACATTTCATTACACCAAATACACAAAATAATGTTCTTTTTAGCAGCATCATATGACCCCTTTAAGATCATGAGAAACATGCATGTATCCAAATTCTGACTGGTTCTGTGAGAAATAAAGAAAGAAAGAAAGAAAGAAAGAAAGAAAATCCATCACTAAGGTGGTGTACATGAAGACATTTAAGGGGAAATCAGATGCCTATTTTCCACAAGTTGGTGTGATTCTTTAGGGTCTTCATGAAATGTCTGTAACATACTTTGGTTAAAATTCCTCAATGGATGTGTAAAACAACACCCTTTTTACCTTGTCAAAAACAACTCTGTTCACAGCGACCCATTTTGTTGCATGTCTCTTTAAATGCTAATGAGCTACTGCTCACCCCTCTCTTCCGTGGGGTGTGTCGACACAAGACAAGTGAATTGCTGCCATATTAGGCTACGTTCACACTTCGAGCCTTAGTGCTCAATTCCAATTTTTTTCTCAGATCTGATTTTTTTGTATAGCTGTTCACATTGTTGTTTTAAATGTGTCCAATATCAGATTTTCAGTGTGAACAAATCATGGTTCTGAACTGACCCGCATGTGCAAAAGAATGATAAGAACAGGGTTTCCAGGTTTTTACAACAAAATCTGCCCAATTGTTTCTCAAAACTAGTCTAAAACTAGCCCAACCATGTTCAGGGAGGTAAACATCACGTTAGTGGGGTCACGTCAACCCACGAAGTTGAAAAACAACCCGCGGCAACAGTGTAAAAAGTAGCCAAATTCCACGGGGAAACTGTGGATTTGGCAACAAATTTGCGTGGCACGCTGTCATACGGAAGTAAACATGGAGGACAAAGTAAGTGATTATCCGTTTATTTATAGTGTGATCTGCTGCTGAAGCCATCAAAATGAAGCACAGGCAATATGGAAAATAAAGACAAGGATGTGACAAAAGACAGCAGAGTTCTGAAACTTTAATGATTCAAGCTCTCATGTTTCGCTTGTATATGGAGTCACTATAATGACTCACACATTACTGTACTTCCACTGACTACCTTTCGCAACTGTCTTGATAACTTTGGGTATGCAAAATCTTTGAAGTGTCTCCCGTCAGCGCGGAATTATGACGAATGTCGATCTAGAGCAGTGGTTCCCAAACTTTTTGCAGCGTGCACCCCTTTCTAGTGTTTGACACATGTCAAGCACCTCCACCACCGTACTCTGGTTAAACACCACATTTTTTTAATACAAGTATAAATACAAGTATTCACTGTATACAGGGCTTGACATTAACTCTTTTGCTCACCAGCCACTGTAGCTAGTGATTTTCCAAAATTACTAGCCACTCAGCATTTTCACTGGCCACAATTTTGTTTGTTGCTAAAGTTACTGCATATTAAAATTTATTTGAATTGATTTCCAGGTCTTTATTTTTGTGTGCCTATAAAAAGGGCATTTCCCCTAACCATATTAAATTAATGTGTCATGTATCAAATTATTATTTTATTAATAATTACACTTAATATAATAAGACTCTATAGGGCTGTTACCAATCAAATGAAATCAGTATTAACAAAACCAAATTTTCCACTGCTGGAGAAACAGAAGCAGCTGAAGTTTACACAGACAATTTAATGAAGCTGAAATGTAGCATGAATGCATTAACACTGCAAAATTACAACAGCATAAATAATGCTGTGAGCTTGGTGTTTTACATCAGGTTTTTTATTTACAAATATGAAAAGTTGTAAAAAATAAAAAGTTACTTTTAAATTTGAAAGTAACCCGCCAGCAGGTGGCAGCAAGTTGACTGTCTTAATGAGTGAGTCATTGAGGCATTCAAACGATTCGTTCAAACGGCTGATTCATTCAAGAATGAAGCAAGCGCCTGTCTTTATGAATGGACTACTGAATCATTAACTCAAATTATTAATTCAAAAATGCAAATAATTCAGTAGCCTAACGAAACACCGCTGACGCTGTGTGTTGCTCAGAGACACAGTTCTGCTGCTAAGTTTGTTTGGAACGATTTTCGTTAAACAAATAGAGCAAAAACAGTCACATTGACATTACTGTACTAAAATATATGCCCTAAGTCACTTAATATTAACTACTCGTTTCAAGTCTTGTTTAAAATCAATGTCAAATTTACAATCGTACTGATTTTCGGGAAAAACTGCACTCTCCTAGTCGTGTCATGTTAATTAATTAGGCTAGGCTTTGTAATAAATATAAAAACTACATTATTTACTTGTTACTATTGATTATCCATTATAAATTGCCGTTTACACCAAGTGTAATAAAATCTGAATCATTCTCGCCGAAATTTTGGTGCTTCCCTAATTCGATGTTTTAATAAGATTAGATTAGTTGTCCGGTCGGGCAAGTCAAATTCTCTTTCACTTGCCCCTTCAAAAAACGCACACAGATCAAAAACATTCTCTCGCGCACCCCTGCTGGTCGGTCTGTGCACCCCAGTTTGGGAACCGCTGATCTAGAGTGACGTAAAAGTCACATGAATTCCGACATGACTGTTCACACTGCGGTCGCATTTCAAAACATCTGACCCATACCTCAGTCAGCGGAAGTGAGAAAAAAGTGTTTATTACGTTTGAAATATGGATATTTGTCTTACAAAAATGCATGGATTCGTTACAGGAGGCCTTTAATCACCCCCCCGGAGCCGTGTGAGGGATGTTTTATTACGGATGTGCACACTTTATTTCACGTCTTCTGAACTGTTGACAACCAACACCCGCTTACCCCCATTGAAAGGCTTGGAGGGGCCAGGACAATTTTTTATATAACTCAGATTGGATTCGTCTGAAAGAAGAAAGTCACATACACCTAGGATGCTTTGAGGGGGAGTAAAACACAGGCTAATTTTCATTTCTGGGTGAACGAACCCTTTAAATAAACCTAGTCTACTGTAGCAGAATAAATTATTTGTTCTTTTGTGCTTGGAATTTGCTTTTTCTTAATTTTAATAACAAAAATAAGATAAAAATAGCTATATCAAGGTACATATCGTTATTGTGAAATAAAATTTCTCATATCGTTAAAAGATTTGGGTCAAATCGCCCATCCCTACATGCCAGAAACATAACAATGCAAAAAAGTGAAAATTTCATTCGATGACCCTTTTAAAGCTCTTTCGCTCTCCCTCACACACACGCCTTTTTCTTAATTTTAATAACAAAAATAAGATAAAAATAGCTATATCAAGGTACATATCGTTATTGTGAAATAAAATTTCTCATATCGTTAAAAGATTTGGGTCAAATCGCCCATCCCTACATGCCAGAAACATAACTAAATGCAAAAAAGTGAAAATTTCATTCGATGACCCTTTTAAAGCTCTTTCGCTCTCCCTCACACACACGCAC